TCTAACTTCAGTAGTTACTGTAAGTAGCAACAGATGCCAGTAGAATAAGACCCTGCTATTGTAAGCAAACTGAAACGAACTTAAAATATACAGAGCTTACTTATGATTCACTTAATGAGGCCTGTACTTAAATTCAAATAGCTCTTTACCATCCTACTAACAGTCATCAGATAAGGCCTAATTATATGTATACATTCTAACACTAAGATAAATCCTTTCTATTTACAACTGAATTTACAACTCAGAGTGCTTTGAAATCTATAGGCTCGCTTCGTTTGCAACAGTGGTTTTATGCTATTTCAAAACATAACAGAGCATTTGTATACAAGCATATTTTAATTTGTCTCCCTGTTTCTCCTTCCTAAATTCATTCATCACAAAATGAAGCCATCACTGTCTTTCGCCTAATTATCCTTTGCCTTCTATTGGATTTTTAGCCAGGAATTCGCTCGATAAAACAAACAGTCCCCAAAAAAGCAAACAAACTGCAACTGAGGAAAAAAGTGACTCCCTGTCAGCACTGATAGTTCATCAAAACACTATATACATACTCCTGACCAGCAAGAGATAAGAGGCCAATGCGTTATGATTAAAGATTCGTACATCAAGCCCTGACTGATGACAAAGTGAGAAGAGCCCCATGCTACCAGCAATATTAATGGCACAGTGCTGTCCTGCATCCTGCCTTGTCAGCACTTAGGCAGCGCATCCTCCTGCCTGTGCTGCTGAATTCGGGTTCCTCTGCAATCAGGTGAACTGTTCCCTCTCTTACACCATGGAGAAGGACGGGGACAGGGCAGAAAAAACAGCAAGTATTGCTGCTGTGCAGTCCATCTACCCGTTTCTCTGTGCAATTTTGTCTTAAACAACCAGTGCCACTTACTCATCCCTCATCTACAAGAATGTTATGCTCCAGTCTGTACTTCTGAGCCTTTCAGGTTCCCTGCTGGGAATGATCCATGTAACCTATTTTTCCTGCCAGCTCACCTATGCCAAGAGCAGCACATTGACTTCTTGCAACATTTTCCCACTTGGTGACTTGCTCTGCTCTGTCATGTTCCTCCCTATCCACCCAGCCTCCTGCACCCTGTGAATTCAAGATCCTCACCTCTGCTATGACAAGATTTTGCATTTTTACCTTTGCTGCACCTTCACACGTGTTAAGAGGAATTTCTTAGTGTAAATGAAAGGAGAATTGGCCCATTGACTGCACATTATACAGACTGCTATACTGCTAGAGAACTGCAGTGCCACCAAGTCAAACAAATGAAGTGCTGGCATCCTTAGGAACACGGAAACCATGCCATTGGAAAAGGTCAGAGACCTTGTTCTGTTTTCAGCAATGCCAGCCTACTCCGCCAAGGAGGGTCTCTGGCTCGATGCCAGCCTCTCAGCAGCATGGTGCCTGCGTGAAAGGACCCTCAAGCTCCCTTAACCAGCCAGCTAAGGATTCCCTACTTTAAAAGGCACCCTGAGACCATGGAGAGCCACAGTAGCCAGGTCAACACCTTTCCTCTCACAGCTCTCGGCATAGAAGACACTTCTGCGGGAAGAAGCCACATCCAGAGTACCACCACAGGATAACACGCCAGCCAGAAATCACTCCTTAGAGCAGCTCTGAGACCGCTTTAAGCTACTCTGGGGACTGATTTGGTAACCGGCCATCCCTGGGACTGGTGGACCAAACAGGTGGCACATTTATCTTCATCTCGGCTTTCTGGCAGGCATCCCAAGCTCAGTTTAACTGGATCAAGCGAGTGATTTCATCAGTTATTTTCCCCTTAGTTTGATGATGCAAAAAGGGGCAGCATGCAATCAAAAGCCTGGCCCTGCCTGTTAAAATAAAAATTGTCATGCTGCTTCCCAAGAAACCTCAACAGTGTGGTGGTATTTGCACACTAATTCATAATATGCTCTGGTCCAACCATGACACTAAAATCCTGTTACCACTGAGTAAATACACTATACAAATGACGTTAAAGCGTTTCCTTATCATTCATCTTATGCAAATCAGTTTTATGCCTATTTAATTTCACTGCCTAAAGAAGAATGACTCCTGAGATTGTACCAGTATGACATTAGAATCCTGTATGCAATTTCCAGGAGCATGTTAAATTAATTAATCCATAAACAAAACAGTCTGTGTTTTATATAATCACCTTCATACTTTCTATTTTTGATATATAACTAACGACAGGATTAAGAGAGTCTGTGTTCTTTCTTAAGAAAGAACAGCTTTGCAAATCTAAAAGAAACACATAGGGCTCTTGGGGGCAAATTCCCCCAGATCAAGAAAGTAACTGGAAAAAAGAAGCAGATCCTGATACTATCAGAAGAACCATGCTCAGCTCTGCTCTTGCTTAGGGACATCTGTCTGTGCAGATCTGCCTCTGAGTAAACAGAGCCACATGGGTAGAGAATAGGGTTACTGTCATTCATTGTTTTTAAACTTTTCACCCCTTTGGTCATTTTGGCAGACCACCCTTGTGCACGCTGCAACACAAGACATGAGATTAGCAGAGTTACATCTGCTTCCAGAGGTGCTTCTGTTAACACACTCAGATGAGGTGTCAGGGACCATGAATTCTTACACTGACATTACTTTCACTTGTTACTCCAGTACCCTTAAAAATATTCATCTCTTCCAGAAGTACCATTCCATACATCACAAAAGGTAGTCTGAATCTTGCTACGTAGGACAGGCATATAATCAGTTTTCATATCCAGCATGATGTATATCTATGTTTTTTCAAAATATTAATTTATCTCTTCTAATCCCTAAAGCTTCTATGTGATGGTTAATAGCTGACTACAGATTTTCATAATTTAATGTATTTTTCTAATTGCTTAGAAAAAGTGACTTAGGTCACTTGGGGGAAGGGGAAAATTACAACATTCAGAACCAGATATTTTAATTTCGATATATATTAAAGATATGCACATTACATCACCATATTTGGAATCTGAATCATCAATAATTTTTGTCATCTAAAAATGATAGCAACTGCTTTTGCAGTTCTGTGACAATGCAAACTCTATGTTAGGGTGCTGTAAGCATAAGAACACGAGTAAAGTTTGAACTTTATGTAACAGTTATTTAAGAGATGTTTTTAGTCCTTTTGGTTGTACAGACAGACCTTCCTATGTACAGTGAATCAATATACTTCTGTGTACTTGTTGACTCTGGTGGACTTGAAGCAGCATCATTAGTTTACCCTCTAACATGCCAAGATGCAATTATTTACATAAAAATGCCATTAAAAAGCAGTCCAACACAAACATGTACTTTTGCCATGGAAACAAAAAAATGCAACCCTGATACTAATCTCTTAAAGAATCCAGATTTTTAAAGATTCGAACAGTATATGAAGAATCCCACATGGCATTGAAGTGAATCCTACCAGTAAAAATAATTTAAACACCTACTTTCTTTAAATGATTAGGATTTAGGCAGAAGTATTGCCATAAACCTGCTTTAAGGCTATTTGTGTAGACATACATCCAACAGTGAAACATAGACTTTACTGTGAAAACCTCCTAAAATTAAAGAAAATCAGTGTTAAAAGGAACGTACACATTAAAAGGAATGGTATTTACAAGCAAGAAAAAATGACTGCACATGGTATGTAATCATCAGTAAAATCCACTGCTGCTGGAGTTCACACAGATTAATTGCGTGGCTGGATATAAAACTGGAAATGTTTATGACCAAGTGTTATTTGTACTTCCTCTGTATCAGATAAGGATAATCACATTTCTTGTTCCGAATCATAAACTGATCAACCCAGCTTTCCACCCACTCAGATTTCTCCCTCTGCAGGGCAGCCTCAACAGATTTTGGGCCAGACTGTGAAGTTAATTGGACATACGGACTCCAGAATGCAACCCCAAGAATGAACCGCCTACACTTGATCACTTAGGCACAAGTCTGAATCCCATTCCCTTCCAAAACACGCCCAGTCTGGACCTGTAGGCATGCGCCTACGGAGCCTGGAACCCTTCCCTGAAGACAAATGGATGGGACACAAAGTTCACTTTTAAAATAGGTCTAGAGGAATATGAGGTATCCATCTTATCTGATAACCAGTGGGGTAAAGCACTCAGAAAAGAGGGGATACCAGGCTCAGTGCTGTCCTTAGCCTAATGGGGATTCAATCCCACACCTCCTACTTCTTAAGAGCGCATCCAGCTACAAGGGGTGTAGGGATGAGGAGAGAGCACAAGAAAGAACACAAACCGTTGCTTCTTCCTCCTTGAGCAGCCATGATTTAAAATCTAAGCAGCTATTACTGCATTTTAAAAGTGTCCCAAGCCTATTTATGTATGAGGTATGCTGGAAGCAGGGATGTATTGTTTTTAGAGGAGCCAACTGCTCCCCACCTAGAGCTAGGATTGGGGTGGTGATGACAGGCATCTCAGGCTGAGGTGTTTCTTGTCATCACAAAAGCAAAACTGAGAGACATCATGCATCTAAAAATAAAGGAATACAGTGTTAACGCCCTAGCTGGTTCAGCCTCAGGAGCAGCTGCATACGCTTGCATGAAAACCTTCTTAAAATGTAATCTTTAAAATTGTTGAGGATAAACACTCAGAAACACTGCATGGGATGACACAAGCTGAAACAGTGCTTAGTCATCCCAGCGACAGGATGCCCCATCCTAAGCCACACGCGGAGAAATAAAAAAAAATGCTGGATGATGCCACATCCTTCATCCGGGGAAGGTATTTATACCAAGCAGCATGAGAAAATGCATTGTAAGTGGTCTGATGAACACGTACCTTTCCAGACCCTCATCTACCCCAAACTTTTACAGCAGACAAATGGTTCCTATTACTTTTAAGTAGTTGTGGATGGTTGAGTCAGATTGAAGAAGACACACATTAAATGTTTTCAGTATTTGGAGTGGGCAACCTAAAAAAAAAAAAAGCTGCAACCTTGTGATTTTCAAGCCTCAAATACCTGTAACGAGAAGGTAAATAACAACCTTTTGCAAACCGGCATGAAGAAGTACGCCCGGCTGGCTCCGACTCAGGAGCGGTGAAGCAGTCGCGCTGCACCCCAGCGCTCTCAGCGCTCCCGGGGAAGCCCAAAGCCACCGGCCGGCCACAGCACGGCCCCTCGGAGGAGCCGGGCCCCCCCGCCCGCCCCGCTGCCGT